CCCCTCCCCCCCCACCCCCCCCCACCCCCCACCACACACACACACAAAAATTCTTTTGTGTAAACATAGCCAAAAGAACTTAATTCTGATAAGACCTAGTTTTTTGGCGACTACATAAATAGAAGAGTATATCAACTTACGGTTGAGGGTGCGACGTAACAAGGGATAACCATGTGATTAGCACCTTCTACGTCGGACCACGAGGTTAGGGGTTCAAGCCACTAAGGGATTCAAGTCGTTAAAGCTGCTGCCGGATTCCCAAGTAGGGTGCAGTTTGGGTCTAGGATTTATCATATCAAATAACTAAAAAACAACACACACACACACACAAAAAAAAAAAAAAATTCACATTTGTCTAAGCTTTGGGAGACAGAGTAATCCGACACCTATGGTGGTGGGAGGTGGCAGGTAACTAGTGGAATAATCAAGGTGCACATAAGCTGGCCTAGATACCACAATCATTCTTTTTTTTTTTTTTTAATAATGAAAAAAGGGGAACACAAGATAAATCATTCTCCGTAAGAAATGAAAAACTAGCTAATAATGCGATGCAATTTCCAGATGTGTCACTTCTCCAGTCAATTAAGTAATTATCATTAACCAAAGCAAACAGGTAAAAAGCCCATAAGTGCATACATGGCAAATGATTAACATAAACAAAGCTGTTTTAATACGAAACAAGCACCTTTAATTACATAAAATGATTTGAATTCATAAATTCTGAAAACTTCAATTGTCACAAAGTACCTCAGATAAGAATTCAGAACATAAGAAACAAAAAAGAATCAATAAGAAAATATTTTACCATAGTAATTTTATAACTCGTGAAGCTCAAATAAACATCTAAATTTAAGTTCTTTCAACTCAGCAGAGTTGGGTTAAATACAGAAAATCGGCGGGGGTTTACACGTGTGGTCTACGAAAATTTCATTCTTTGAAAAAAGATGGAAAAGAAGAATATTACAAGATTTAATCGCCAAAATACAGCAAAAATTTCACATTTCAAAGTACATACCTTTGATTCCTTTGTTCTTGTCAGCAAGACAGGGTTTTTGAGAGGTTTATGTGGACAAATTCTTGGTTACGTTGCTTTTATTGCCTCGACTTTCTATGAAATGTCAAAGAAGCCCCTAAAGGTTCAAAATAGACGATTTGCCCCCTACTTCACACCTTTTATTTATTGATTTTTTATTTTACTTTGTTTTGTTTTTTTTTGGTGTTGTGTAATTAGTTAGATGGATTACGAAAAATGTAACATTTTGGAAATCAACGAAGAATTCGAGTTACCACTGATCATAATAGGTTGACATGTTTTTTGGTTTAACTTAAGTGTTGCAGTAATTTATTCTCTTAAACAATGAATACTATTTACAACAAAATAAAGAGGAATTTCTGATATTCAAATAGTGATAGTGATAAAAGCTTGTGCAAAAAGCAAATGTTTTAGGATATTTGTAATTATTTTTAAGATTTTGTGAATATTGTGAGTGGAATAAGAACTTTTCTTTAATACACAGCCAAACCTCTTTTTCCAAAAAAAAAAAAAAAAAGAACATTATATTTTATTCTATTTTACTTACTTTTGTTTTCCAAAAACTTCTTGAGACAAGTTAAGCAAACACATTTGAAGTTGGGACTCTTTATTCAGAAAACGTATAACGTAATTTTATAGTAGTATATATTATATGAACAACATTTGAACTTGCATGGAGCATAAGTTTGGGGGAGAATTCAAAGTTCTAATCATAAGTTTAAACTCAATTAAGATCACAACAGGACATGATATCTTCTTTTTTTTTAGCATAACATAATAACATAACATTATCCCGAAAAATAAAGATAGTGTCAACTAGACATGCCAATGTCTTACATATATCTGTCAAACATATTTTACCTTGAGCGATATGTACATCTATAAGTTGACAATTGCATTGCTACCACGGGTGGAGGTAGAAGTTTGACTACATATTCGGTCGAACTCAATAACTTTTGCTCAAATAATATATTTGTATTAACTATTAAAAAATTTATTAGATATGTACAAATATTAAAATTAGAACGTAGCTCTTAGTATTTGAAATTATCGTTCTAAAATTAAAGATCCATAAAAAAATGAAATCGTGATTCTGCCTTTGATTGCTAAAGAAATTTAGATTAAGTTTTCAAAATCCGATTTTCCTTTGAATGATTCTGCCGACAATGAATATTCATGAGACAAAAATAAAGACATGTCTTTGTATGCCTCAACATCAAACATATTGGATATTTGCAAAGTTATTTGTCCCTACGTTTCTTCATGTATTGAATTTGCACATTGAAAAGTTGCCTCTTTATCTCCATTGCAAAAGCAAGCATATAGTATCAATTTCGTTGACAAACTACAATCATCTAGAATACCTAAAGGGTCCACAGGTATTTTGTATATAAAAACCATTAGTAAAATTGATGCCATGTGACCACGAGGTCACGAGTTCGAGCCGTGAAAACAGTCTCTTGCAGAAATGCAGGATAAAATTGCGTACTATAGACCCTTGTGGTCCGGCCCTTACTAGAACCCCGCATATAGCGGGAACTTAGTGCACCGGGCTGCCCTTTTTCTTTCCTTGAATTGGACAACTATTTCAATGTATTATGGATAGAACATAAAAATCAACCAATGCTTTATAACATTGAAAATGTAACTGTGAAATTAGTTTACCTTCTACTAACCGACAGCTAAAAGAATACTTACATAGTCAAATCATCTAAAAAAAATAACTACAATTAATTGTCCATACCAAGTGGGATTATAAACTAGAAAATACAACAAATTACTGCTATAAAAAGTTCAAAAAACACTAAAAATTTCGTTAAACTTTTGTGTATACATGGGGTTAAATCCAAGACTAATCGTACTTTTCTTTCCAGGAGCAGACAAGAAAGAAAACCCAAGAAAGTCCCAAAGCAATGTCCCCAATAACAAGCCTCACCCAATCAACACCAAGATCCTCAACCTTTCTCTCAAAGTAAATTCTCCAAATAGCCATAGCAACATGAAGAAAAACACAACCCTTAGCAAAAAAGCTGTGGATTTCTCTATCTTTTACAAATGCAACCATCAACAAAAGAAATCCAATTGCAAACAAAAGTAGACCCGAAAATGAATCTGATGTTCGAATTATCAACTGATCATGAGGTGTTGATCCTAGCAATTTACTGGCCCTTTCATTCCCACGACTAAATACATATAACTCATTGCTATAAAACATCATTAAGATTCCACAAGTTAAGGCCACCAAAGAATGGAGCATGCACAATAGGAAAAAAACAGGTGACCCCATTGAGAAAAACTCTATAAAGCTTCAATCTTTAAGCATGTAACAAAAGATCATTACTCAACCCATTCAGGTGACCCCATTGAGAAAAACTCTATAAAGCTTCAATCATTAAGCATGTAACAAAAGATCATTACTCAACCCATTTGACATGGTACAAAATAATACACAAAAATCAAATCTTTGGATCCAATACTCAACAGGTAAAAAGGGGTGAAGAAAGGAATATGGGAAAGGTTTTAGTATATAGAGAGCGTTTCAAAATTCAAGAGAACAACTAATGTGGCTACTTTAGTACAGCTAATTTGACACTTAAAATAACAAAAAAGAAGAACGTTTCTGTCACTAACTTCTCTTATTCACCTTTCTCTTTTTGTTTTCAGATTTCATTTGTTTCTTTTTTCTCTTTTTGTAATAAATGGTGAATAGTTTTCGTACTGACATAGACACTAATGTGTCAAGTACGAAACGGATGCGAAACATGAATTATTTTGCTAAATTAGGACATCATTTTATGGGAAAAAATCCCCAAGGGGTTAATTTCAATCTTTACTGTGCCCTTCCATTATTATTTTACCTTACATAGGCCTCTCCCACACCCAAAAATGTATAGATGATTGGAAAAGAGAGAGAAATAATGATAGGAAAAACGACTCAGATTACCCAAAATACCAATATTATGTGACATAAAAGACTACTTCCAATATACGCTTCACCTGCTATTAGGAAGTTCAACTCGTTTGGTTGAACGCGTTCTGATCCTTGTATTGCATTTGCGTATACAAAGCTATTAAATAGGGAAATAATTTCTGTACATCCCCTCTCGATTTTGGAGCCCAATTAAAGGCTGTCCAATCTCAATGATTGTGATATTGTAAATTTAAATAGACTCGTAAAGAAATATAGCCAAATTGATGGTGTTGAAATCATGTCCAACCAGTGCCATATGATTGTCATTGTACCATACGATTATGCATCCAATACCCAAGCATACGTATCATGTTCGTGATAACAAGAAATCCAGCACCAAAAATTGGTCTTCACTCTGCCGTGTTACTAGCAGAAAATATGATTAGCTATAAAACAAGAATCAACCAACCTATTATTTCAATTAGTGATATCTACAATGTAAATTGAATTGATATTCACAACTTTCAAAAAAAGCAAAACCAATTTTTTTCTTCGCACATTTGACAAGTACCTATCAAAATTGTCCTAACATTGCTGAACAGTAAGCAACAAATAGGTTGAAAAAGGAGAACATATTCTTTTTCCTTTTGCAGCAGAAGAGGAACGGCCGCAAGGGGGGCAAGAAAATCAAAAAGTACTGCCTCCCCTACTCCCAGAACCAACTTTGCGATGTCGTCTTGAATTAGACTTCCTTTCACCTCTTCCACGCTTAGGATTTCTTCTCACTGGAGATTTAATAGAAAATTGATCACGAACCAACGCGGGTGGAGGATGGACTCTCGCAACTGTCATGTGAGCCCTTTGCTCCAGTAAATCTCTATGGTATGCCTGCAAAGATTTGGTATAAACACTCTTATACTATGAGAAAGTAGAGGCTGTAATACGCAGCAAAAATTAAGGCAAATAACTAGCTAACCATAAAAAGTGTGAAAGGTAATATCCAACTTTCCGAAGCTTTTGAGTAAAAATACTGTTCATCTTCTCCAACCAAAGAAATATTCCCACACCTTTAATATTGAGTACATGTATATCTTCATTTATGACTCATTTTTTTGCATCTCTGAGACCAAAATTCACGATTTTTTTCTTTTCCTTTTTTCCTAATGGCCCATGAGTCAATACTAGTCCTTCTTTGCTTTGTGTAGGAGTCAACATTCCTCAGCAAATTATGATCCACATCTAGGTATTTGGAAGTCAACTGACCACCTAACAATTGCAGAGAATTCTTGACATGTGTAAACAATTTGAGTTACAGACTCCCTCAAGATTTATGTAGGCAAAATTACCTACTTCCCTCAATATAAAACAAAAGTTCATCATCTTCCACCTTTTTTCCATTGGGACATGTAGTTATAACAAAAAATGTGTAGAGATGTGTACAGATCTGAGAAGGGCAGCCATAAAAATCAAAAGAAACGCACACAAAAGTAATTTGGAACAGTTCTCACAGAAAAATCCTACATACTAACCAAGGAAATACTTTGGGCCAGTAGAAACTATAAATGGATCATATGATACTTAAACAACATATGCATATGGTTCTCCACCTTTGCTGAAGAGAAAGGAAAGGCAAATAAAAAGCAAAAGAAAAGAGAGGGAAGAAATAATTTTTAGATTTTGTATGGAATAAGGAAGATGCTCTGCTGTGGATACCTGTATCACAAAATTTCGCCTCTCACAATCCAAAAACATGTTGATGTTCCAGCTAACCTTTGCCATCAATTTGTCCCTAACGGTGGAAAAGCTCAACTGGTCCCTTGAGGTAAAACGATCAACCTCATTGAACCACAGACAGGTGAAAAGATTTGTGATGGGAATATGTTCCTTTATGATAACACATCCTTCAGGAACATCTGAAAAAAGTTTGCTAAGTTAATTACATTTTGAGAGCGAGTGCGCAAATGAACATAAGGTGTACATGGACCCACCACTTGTAATAGGAAGCTTAGCCTCCGAATATGCAGTTAAACCTTCTTTCCTGTAGAAGCCAATTTGGTGATCAATGGATACATTATCATACTTCCCAGCAGCTTTATTAGCTTCAGCTTCTTCAAAGACGTCAAACCGTCTATAATGTCTTGAAATTGCAAAAGTAGCATTCTGGCGCCACAAGAATCTGAGGTAAGGAATAGAAAAGAAGAAACTCATGAAACTGCAAAGTAGAGATGAGATATTGAAACTAGAAGGTATAAACCAACAAAAAGACTGAATGACTTGTTTGCAGGCAGAAGGATGCAAGAGGGAGCAAAACCAAATGTACCTCTCAAGAATCTGGTAAGGATCCACAACGAGCTGAAGCTTTCCATCTATCCAAATTGAATAGCGGACATTAGGAAAGAGCCTATGTAGTAGGAGCTTAGGTACCTGCCACAGATACATCTCTTTCAAGCAAATTCATAAATCACAGGTTCTTTAAAATCCAAACTTAACAGTTGAAAAAGTTTCTGAAAATATAATCCATGAAAGAAAGATACAATGGTGTAAAATCACATTGATATCTAATTCACATATTCTTTAAAAGCCAAACTTTATTGATGAAAGATTTCTGAAAATAAATCCATGAAAGATAAAAAATACAACAATGTCAAATCACATTGATATCAGATGAATGATAACGGTTACAGCGTATATTCTATTACATCTCGGAATGTTGGTTTTTCTCATCACTTTGTGGAAGAAAGATTAAACTATTACAGCAACAGGGGATCGATCAAAAGAGCGAATCCCTCAATCTGCTAACATTCATTTCAAGTTAGAAACTTCAGTAGGTGACAAATAGAAGGATGTGCACAAATTAGCTCAACCGTTAATATGGTGCTAACAACAAAATCCACAGTAGATACTTTATTTTACTAAAAGGTAAAAGCAGTACATGACTACCCAAGTTCATTGCTTTTTTGTGGGGTTTCTTACAAACAGCATGGTCAGAATATAGTGCTTTTCATAACTAGACGCAAGATCAAGCACTGTGTATCATGCAGGAGAAACTGGAACAAGATATCTCCCCATCATTCGTATCCTACTTTCTCATAATGTGATATTTTTTTTCCCCAACAGATGTAAACATATGGGTGTAGATGCAAAGCTGATGCCTATGGAAAATGGTTTTCCGCTAGCAGAAGAAACATCTTATTTTTTGCCAATCCTGTTAAGAATATTGTAAATATACTGCAGTGACAATTAAGGAGATCCATTATCAGTTAGGATCCATTACGATAATTCTTCTCTCATATTATGTGTTCATTATATTCCCTCCTATATTATTACCCATGAATATTGCTATTTAACAGCTTGAGGGAATAATCAAGCTGGTTGATCCCGAAATTCTCTTTCCTCTTCTTCTCATTCTAGCGTTCTCCTTCTCCGTTCTTCTCCTTCTAATTGGTATCGTAGATAGTAGATCCATTCTCTCTGTTAACTGTTTTATATTTAGGAAAAGATTTTAGTAAAGTTCACCGAACCGCAAAAATCAAATATGGCCATCATTACCCCATTAGAAGAGCATTCTCTCACCTCACAGCCACCCTATTTCCAAAGTACATCATCAGTGACAACGAGCGGTAAAGTACATGCTGAGTCTTCTCAAATTACTGCGGACATCATGCGGCTACACGTGGCACATCTCCAGCCAACATCTTCCATCGACAATCACTCCACAGGAGTCTCCCAAACCCCTATAGTTCATCATCTCCTTAAGAATCTCCTCAGATCAAGTTCAAATTGCTCAAACAGTGACCTGGGGCTCAACTACTCCAGGTTTTCCCCATTTCACTCGCTTAGGCAAAAATTTCAGTAGAATTTCTTTATCACCTTTGGAGTTCCTAGGACTCTGTTACATTGATTTGCGGCACTTACTGTTTTTGCTTTGCCCTTTCCCTCTCTGTTCATAACTGTATTATTTGTGGTTCTTTTTTGTATTTTGAAGATGCTTTCTTGCTTCATCACTTAGTAGATTTTTTAAGGGTCCGAAAAAGAGAATATGACACAAGTCAAACTGAAAAATCTCGTTCAATCAATGGAATGACATGAAGAGATATGTTAATATCAAAGCTCACAACTTTTACCTGCACATGTGCAAAGCTACAGAGACAAATAGGAGAAGAATATGTTCTGCTTAGTGATGTGAAAAAGTGTAACAACAAAGAGACCTCTCAACACAGATTACAATGGGTTCAGTCAAACCCCTTGTATCCAAAAAGATTTTAAAAATACTTCCACTTTGAAGACAAATGATATTATCTTCCAGTAACTTGGTTTTCCATGTTTTCTACAAGGAGTGAACAGAAGGATTAAGAGGAAAACTAGGAGAGCAAACCTTTCCATTGCGTCTAGCATCAGAGTAAGGCACATTGCGAACCAGAATAATCCTCCATAAACCAACCCTATTCCTGCTGTCCAAGAGACTTGAATTCTTCAAGGATGCCTCTGTTTCTTCATCAACAAACATATAAAAGGGAACATTTTCCCGTGCAATTTCACCAGCGTTTTTTGGCTGTTGAATCACATCATAATTTCCTGTAAGAGCGTTTATGTAGATACTAGTCAGGGATAAAAAATCACATTGCTGCCTGATGCAAACACCACAATATTTA